GCCAAGTTGCCCAGGCGGATCTCGAACCCGCGGGCTCAGGCAATCCACTCACCTTAGCCTCCCAAAGCGCAGGATTACAGGCTGAGCCACTGAGCCCGGCTTAAAAATCATCTTTAAATTGTAAATATAGCCAATGTATTCTAACAGAAAACCCAAACATTGGAATGTATTTATCTTTAGTATTAAGATAAAGGCTTTTAATTTCCTTTTTCTTTTTTCTTTTTTTTTTTTTTTAAGTCAGCATCTCAGTCTGTCACACTGGCTGGAGTGCGATGGCATGCTCACGGCTGCCACATTCTCAAACTGTAAGACTTAGGCAGTCCGTCCGCCTCAGCTTTCCAACTAGCTGGAACTATAGGTGTGTACCACCATGCCCAGCTAGTTTTTTATTTATTGTATAGACAAGGTCTACCCCAAGTTGTTCAAGCTGGTCTTGAGCCCCTGGGCTCAGACATTCCTTTCCCCTCCTCCTCCCAAAGTCCTGGGATTAAAGATGTGAGTTACCATGCCTCATGCCAGCCTCCTTTTTTTTCTTTTTCTTTTTTTTTTTTTTTTTTGATAAAGACTCTTTTGACTATCTCTTTCCTTCTCCCAAAGTCTCCTTCCTTCCCCTAAGATAACACTTTTAGCAATTTGGCATGTCATGCTCCATACTTTTTCTTCTAATGTTATGAAAATATGTAATTTAGTTTTTTTTGGTTTTTTTTGAGTTGGAGTCTCACTATGTCGCCCAGACTGGAGTGCAGTGGCCGCTCCCGGCCACCGCAGCCTCGACCTCCTGGGCTCCGGCGATCCTTCCGCCTCAGCCTTCCAAGTAGCCAGAATTACAGGCATGCGCTACCACGCCCGGCTGATTTTTTGATTTATTGTAGAGATGAGGTCTCGCTGCCCAGGCGGGTCTCAAACCTGCGGGCTCAGGCAATCCACTCATCTCAGCCTCCCAAAGGCGCGAGATTACAGGCTGAGCCACCGAGCTCAGCTAGTTTTTTGTTTTTATAAACATTTCACAATTTATAGTATTCTGTGCCTTAATATATGGTAAAGTAGTATTTAGATTTGGTGGGAAAAAATATACAGTAATAGTTATGTGTTACATAATGACAGGGATATGTTCTGAGAAATGCATTGTTAGGTGTTTTAGTCATTGTGTGTATATCATAGAATGCACTTACACAAACCTAGATGGGGTAGCCTTCTATACATCTAAACTGTATGGGATAGCATATTATTCTTAGGCTTCAAACCTGTAAAGCATGTTAGTGTACTGAATACTGTAGGCGATTATAACATAATGGGAGGTGTTTGTGTATGCAAACATTTCTAAACATAGAAAAGGTTCAGTGCAAGTATGGCATAAAGGATACAAATGGTACGTCTGTATAGGGCAGTTACTATGAATGAATCTTGCAGAACTGGAAGTTGCTCTGGGTCAGTCAGCGAATGAGCGGTGAGTGAATGTGAAGGCCTAGCACATTATTGGATATTACTGTAGACTTTATAAACAGTTTGGCTAAATGAAATTTATAAAATAATATTTTTCTTCATTAATGAACTAAGTTCAGCTTACTGTAGTTTTTTTACTTTATGAAATTTTTAAAAATTTAAAACATCTTGACTCTTATAACACTTAACTCAAAACACAAACATATTGTACAGCTATACAAAAATTATTTCTTATACCTCTTGTATAAGCTTTTTTGATTTTTAAAATTTTTAAATTTTTTAACTTTTTAAACAAATGAAATTCTCTCAAGCTTTATACCAGAATTCCAGATAGATTAAAGATTTAAATGTAAAAAGTAAAAAATAGAAAACGTAAGAAATAGTTATAATACTTTAGAATGAGGATGCCTTCTAGAAGACAAAACTGAGGAGGCTGTAAAAGGAAGAGAGAAGAATTTGATTATGGAAAATTTAGGAAGCAAAATAGTGATTAAACATGCAACAATCAGTTAAGAGATGGTAAACAAAGAGTTACCATCCCTTGGATGTATATACCAAGTTTCCCAGGCTAGTCTTGAATCCGTGGGCTCAGGCAGTCCTCTCACCTTGGCTTCCCAAAATGCTGGTATTATAGGCATGGGCCACCATTCCAGCCAAGAAATTAAAAAATTATAACCATCCTAGTAGGTGTGAATGTGTTATCATTTAAAAATGTGTGGGCTGAACGCGGTGACTCATGCCTATAATTCCAGCACTTTAGGAGGCCAAGGTGAGAGGATTGCTTGAGCTCATGGGTTTGAGACCAGCTTGGGCAACTTGGTGAGACCTCATCTCTACAATAAATCAAAAAATTAGCTGGGCGTGGTGGCGCATGCTACTTGGAAGGCTGAGGCAGAAGAATTGCTTGAACCCAGCAGGTTGAGGTTGCAGTGCCTATGAGCATGCCTCTGCACTTCAACCTGGGCAACAGAGTGAGACTCCAACTCAAAAAAACAGCAATGACCAAAAAAAAAAAAAATGATTTTTTTGGGGAAGGCAATAAATTGTGGTCTGATCATCTGTAGTTATTTTCCACATTGTAAGGTTGCACATTAATAGGTGGTAAGTGTTTACCAGGGCTTGTTTTAAAAAAGTATTTTTAGCCGGATGTGGTAGCATGCACCTGTAGTTCTGGCTACTTGGAAGGCTGAGGCGGAAGGGTTGCTGGAGCCCAGCAGGTTGACACTGGGGTGGCCATGAATGTGCCACAGAACTCCACCCTGGGCAACAGAGTTAGACAAACAGAACAAGCAAACAAACAAAAAAGTATTTAAGGAGATTTTCTTGTTCTGTAGGATTTCAGAACCTCACTTGAAATGTAAATAACTGTTTTATTTTATGTTTACATCAGGTACGACCAAAACTTCCCCTTTTGAAGATTTTGCAGGCAGCAGGTGCACAAGGTGAAATGTTCACTGTTAAAGAGGTAAGCCATTAAAGAAAATTCTCAGTTGTTTTTTTTTTTTTGAGTTGGAGTCTCACTCTGTTGCCCAGACTGGAGTGGCCGCTTCTGGCTACCACAGCCTTGACCTGCTGGGCTCTGGCGATCCTTCCGCCTCAGCCTTCCGAGTAGCCG